ATAAAATGTGAAATGCTTTTTTTTCAGTAACAAAGTGCAGTTGTAAAAATTAAATACTGAAAACTGGAAAAACAACAGATGACAACAATCAGTATTAGATTAAATCAAATCCAATTGCTCTCTTGTAGAGATAAGCTGTAAATTTTTATACTCTAAAGATATAATGAAATATATATATTTCATTATACATATATATATCCATTGATGATGTAGTCTTAATATATATATATATATCTTTTAAAAAATAATTACTATACTTAATAAAATCAAATCAAAAAAATAAAAAATGGAAAAGACAGTAATAAGAAAGATAAATGGAGTATAAGGTGTAAACTATATATCCAGAATGACTTCCTCCATTTTGTTTTTTTTTAAATTGAACTTGCAGTTTTTCTATTATACAAGTTGATATTTAATTCTGAATGTTTTTCTTTAAATTGTTCAACTTTTAGGAATGAAAGGCCTAACAGAAGACAAACATAGGAAACTCATTGGAAATTTTATTATTAGAAATTTGATGAAGGGTAAACTTTTCACTGTAGAACATTCTAAATGTTTGGGCATTTTAAAAAGCATTATATATGATATAATTAAGNACTAAGGTGACCAGCTCACTTTATATGGCCAGAAATTGTATATTCAAAAAGGTGACCACTTAAGTAAGGTTTAACTACATTCAAAACATACACAGATAATGTTAATTTTAGAATTAAATAATAATTATTAAATTTAAAGTAAATGCCATTTCTAAATATAAATTTTAATTTAACTAGACACAGTAAACAAATACATGCATTTTATTTACAGTACAAAATATATTGGAGAATAATATAAATATTCTAAATATGTCATACATATTTATAAATATTCCAAAGATATAATTTTTCATTTATTATTATAAATGTCATTTCCAGATTAGTAGTGAAATAGGAAATACATCATATTGCAAATAATAAAATATAGTTTATAAAGATCAAATTTATTACTGATGATAAATGCAGTTTTATAATGAAACTGCTGTATTTAGTCTGTGTCGAGTATGATTAAAAATGATTCTTATTAGATTTTTAAATAAAATAACGATTTTAAATTATAGATTATATAACAAAGTATATTAAATCAAATTAAATGATATGTTTTTAATTTTTAAGAAATTACAGAACAGTATTATATTCATTATTACACTAGTTCAGACCCAGTTCATAATTTTTAATTGTTTATTATTATATAAAAAAATGTGTTTTAGAAAATTTGGGTGCATTTTCTAAAAATTGTGATAGCTATTTCTCAGAAAAAGAACTTATAAATGAAACTCCGTAATGAATTTAAACATATAAATAAAATATTTCTTCATTGAAAGTAATAGGAAGGTTTGGGCCAATGCAAAAGGATATTTAAATGTGAATGCATAAAAGTGCTCCACTGTATTATATACAATATGTAATAAAACATCATGGTTTTTTACATCCATTTTACATTTTTAAAGCAGAATGTAAAAAAAAGTCAAACAGAACTCATCTGTTAATCTTTCAATCACCATAACAGTTTATACATAACAGTTTACATAACAAATTAATAGGACTTATCACACTGGTGTATAAGATTACAGCAACACAGTCACACAGATTAAAATTGTTCTATTTACAATTACCTGTCTGTTATATGTTATATGTTAACAGTTATTGTAATACAATTACAGTAACTGTTATGGTGATTGAAAGATAATTTGTTTAAATTAAAGACATTGATGCATATTAATTAAAGAACTCATCTGTATTGACAACAACAGTTTTTAATATTTTAAAATGTATTTTGTAAAAGATACTGTGTTTTGTTTAATAGGCTAGAATAAAGATAAAAGATACAATACCACTAATATCCATTAATAAACTACTTAACTAAATAAAAACAAAAAAATATATAACTTTTGTATAGTTTTCAATTGCAAATTTCAGAGATAGTGTTGAACAATATTGTATATATTATTTTTTCAATTGAGAAGAAGTACATAACATTAAAGCAGATGCATTTATTTTAAAAAGAATTACAAATTGTGTTTTTGCAGGAGTGCACTTGATCAAGTTTATATTTATTTACTCACTTTTATGCTTATTCTACTTTATAGGTAAAATTTGTTATAGAATATACATTAATATATACTATTTAAGCAATTTAAAAAGATTGAAATTGCTGATCAGCACCACTCCATTCGCTGAATAATCCTAATATACATTTATTAGGGATATATATATTGTAAATGAATATATATGAATGTGACAACTAGGTCATTTTCCAACATAATTCCTACCACGTTCAATGCAGGTTTACTACCGTTTCACTAAGGAGAAAAGAAAACTTTTGGCTGGTTGTGCACCCATCTATATACCACCTGTTTGATCTCCTCATCCAAGTTGAATCATTTTCCAACTAGCACCCCTTGAGGGGTCCAAACACATGGTAATTAGTAGAGGCATGGTCTGGTGAATAAGCAGAATGTGGAAGACACTCAAAATGCAATCCTGTAATCTTCTCTACTGTTGTGTAGGCAGTGTTAAGTTGTGCACTGTCCTGCTGTAGTAACATATCTGAACTGAGTAAGTTATGTTTAGTTCTGACTGTAGATTTCAAATGATCTCAAGGAGATTACAATTTTGTTTGTTGGTGACAGTAGTCTCTCTGGGAAAATGTTGCTCCAAGATTAGGACTTTTGTGGTCCCAAAAGAATATGATCATCAATTTCCTGACCAACAGTGTGACATGGAACTTCCTTGGTGTTGTTGAAAAGGATGTTGCTTACTCCTTGCTTGCTCATTTTATCTGAAGTTGGAAATAATGGATCCAACATTTGTCACTAGTGACTGTCCATTAGAGAAATCCTATCACCTTTAATTTAGAAATTTTGAAGATGCAAATTATAGATGTTCACTCAACAGAGAGAGACTTTCAGCTCAGGAGTAAGTTATCTCAGTACCTACTTTGTAGAGACTTTTGGTACTTCATCACATTATGAATGGTGTGTTGAGCCTTAACTTATTATCACTTCTATGGCTACTTCATTGATAGATAGCACTAGGGACTGGTATATATGTTGTTTAGTATACTCTCCATCAACACCAAAATAATAATAATTAATAAATTCATTTGTAGAATGTCATCAGATAGTAATTAAATTTNTTATATACAATATGTAATAAAACATCATGGTTTTTTACATCCATTTTACATTTTTAAAGCAGAATGTAAAAAAAAGTCAAACAGAACTCATCTGTTAATCTTTCAATCACCATAACAGTTTATACATAACAGTTTACATAACAAATTAATAGGACTTATCACACTGGTGTATAAGATTACAGCAACACAGTCACACAGATTAAAATTGTTCTATTTACAATTACCTGTCTGTTATATGTTATATGTTAACAGTTATTGTAATACAATTACAGTAACTGTTATGGTGATTGAAAGATAATTTGTTTAAATTAAAGACATTGATGCATATTAATTAAAGAACTCATCTGTATTGACAACAACAGTTTTTAATATTTTAAAATGTATTTTGTAAAAGATACTGTGTTTTGTTTAATAGGCTAGAATAAAGATAAAAGATACAATACCACTAATATCCATTAATAAACTACTTAACTGAATAAAAACAAAAAAATATATAACTTTTGTATAGTTTTCAATTGCAAATTTCAGAGATAGTGTTGAACAATATTGTATATATTATTTTTTCAATTGAGAAGAAGTACATAACATTAAAGCAGATGCATTTATTTTAAAAAGAATTACAAATTGTGTTTTTGCAGGAGTGCACTTGATCAAGTTTATATTTATTTACTCACTTTTATGCTTATTCTACTTTATAGGTAAAATTTGTTATAGAATATACATTAATATATACTATTTAAGCAATTTAAAAAGATTGAAATTGCTGATCAGCACCACTCCATTCGCTGAATAATCCTAATATACATTTATTAGGGATATATATATTGTAAATGAATATATATGAATGTGACAACTAGGTCATTTTCCAACATAATTCCTACCACGTTCAATGCAGGTTTACTACCGTTTCACTAAGGAGAAAAGAAAACTTTTGGCTGGTTGTGCACCCATCTATATACCACCTGTTTGATCTCCTCATCCAAGTTGAATCATTTTCCAACTAGCACCCCTTGAGGGGTCCAAACACATGGTAATTAGTAGAGGCATGGTCTGGTGAATAAGCAGAATGTGGAAGACACTCAAAATGCAATCCTGTAATCTTCTCTACTGTTGTGTAGGCAGTGTTAAGTTGTGCACTGTCCTGCTGTAGTAACATATCTGAACTGAGTAAGTTATGTTTAGTTCTGACTGTAGATTTCAAATGATCTCAAGGAGATTACAATTTTGTTTGTTGGTGACAGTAGTCTCTCTGGGAAAATGTTGCTCCAAGATTAGGACTTTTGTGGTCCCAAAAGAATATGATCATCAATTTCCTGACCAACAGTGTGACATGGAACTTCCTTGGTGTTGTTGAAAAGGATGTTGCTTACTCCTTGCTTGCTCATTTTATCTGAAGTTGGAAATAATGGATCCAACATTTGTCACTAGTGACTGTCCATTAGAGAAATCCTATCACCTTTAATTTAGAAATTTTGAAGATGCAAATTATAGATGTTCACTCAACAGAGAGACTTTCAGCTCAGGAGTAAGTTATCTCAGTACCTACTTTGTAGAGACTTTTGGTACTTCATCACATTATGAATGGTGTGTTGTGCTGAGCCTTAACTTATTATCACTTCTATGGCTACTTCATTGATAGATAGCACTAGGGACTGGTATATATGTTGTTTAGTATACTCTCCATCAACACCAAAATAATAATAATTAATAAATTCATTTGTAGAATGTCATCAGATGGTAATTAAATTTTAAATAATTTTATTGTTAATGAAAATTTATTGCTAAATGTTATATTTATTATTGAAATTAAAATACTTCTATTTCAGTATATGAGTGAGAAAATTGGAGGAGCAGAAGGCACAAAATTTACTGATGAATATATGGAAATGGAAAGGGTATACATAAAATTTCAGCTATATTTTTTTTATTAATATTTACTTCAAAATATTAAATCTTTTTAATATGAAATTATTTGCTTAATAGAAAACAGATCTTACAAATGAATTGGTCGAAGAATTAATTGTGAAAACAAAAGAATATCTTCAACCCAACCCAAGTAATTATTTATACATTTAATTAAATTTTAAGAAATTTTAAAATTTCATATGAATGTATTTTGTATACCTCTGAAAAATTATCTAAATCTATTATGTGTGTATAAAAAAAATGAGTAGGTGACACAAAAACGATGACACTAATCTCAGCACCATTTATTGTTCATTATTAACTAATTTTCTAAAATTAACTTTAAATTTAAGGAAAGATATTATTTTTCTTGCTCATGTTTAAAATCAAAAAGTTGTAATTACAGTATTAAAAGGATTTCTACCTCCATTCAAATTCATTAGCCAGTATTTTCCAATTTAACTGCAGATTTCTGCTGCAAAGTCTATTTCCTGTATAACCTTTATATCATGCCAAATGATAAAATGATTTTTTCAAAGTTCAAATTAAACACTCCTACTTAACTAATGAAAAAGGGACCATTTTTGTATCAATCGGCACTAGAAGTAAATATTTCATATTAATCAAACCATTTGTTGGCTTCTCTAACAGTTTTCTAATTATAATTGTTCACTAATTTTACAATTGAATTTATAATTAATTACACTTAGAAATTATATATATATAATTATAATAAAACATTAAATGCAGACAGATTAAATAACATCATTATACAGATTATATTATAGACCAGTGGTGCCCAAACTTTTTGATTGCAGGTTACAGTGTGCATAAGTCATAAGTAGACTTATGGTATAGATAGACAGGCCACAAATATTTCATATATTCTAAATATATGCATAGNGTAATTAAATTTTAAATAATTTTATTGTTAATGAAAATTTATTGCTAAATGTTATATTTATTATTGAAATTAAAATACTTCTATTTCAGTATATGAGTGAGAAAATTGGAGGAGCAGAAGGCACAAAATTTACTGATGAATATATGGAAATGGAAAGGGTATACATAAAATTTCAGCTATATTTTTTTATTAATATTCACTTCAAAATATTAAATCTTTTTAATATGAAATTATTTGCTTAATAGAAAACAGATCTTACAAATGAATTGGTCGAAGAATTAATTGTGAAAACAAAAGAATATCTTCAACCCAACCCAAGTAATTATTTATACATTTAATTAAATTTTAAGAAATTTTAAAATTTCATATGAATGTATTTTGTATACCTCTGAAAAATTATCTAAATCTATTATGTGTGTATAAAAAAAATGAGTAGGTGACACAAAAACGATGACACTAATCTCAGCACCATTTATTGTTCATTATTAACTAATTTTCTAAAATTAACTTTAAATTTAAGGAAAGATATTATTTTTCTTGCTCATGTTTAAAATCAAAAAGTTGTAATTACAGTATTAAAAGGATTTCTACCTCCATTCAAATTCATTAGCCAGTATTTTCCAATTTAACTGCAGATTTCTGCTGCAAAGTCTATTTCCTGTATAACCTTTATATCATGCCAAATGATAAAATGATTTTTTCAAAGTTCAAATTAAACACTCCTACTTAACTAATGAAAAAGGGACCATTTTTGTATCAATCGGCACTAGAAGTAAATATTTCATATTAATCAAACCATTTGTTGGCTTCTCTAACAGTTTTCTAATTATAATTGTTCACTAATTTTACAATAGAATTTATAATTAATTACACTTAGAAATTATATATATAAAATTATAATAAAACATTAAATGCAGACAGATTAAATAACATCATTATACAGATTATATTATAGACCAGTGGTGCCCAAACTTTTTGATTGCAGGTTACAGTGTGCATAAGTCATAAGTAGACTTATGGTAGAGATACACAGGCCACAAATATTTCATATATTCTAAATATATGCATAGTAGGCCTATTTCTATCATTTATAAGTGATATGTCAAATATGTTTGCAGCAGGATTTGACTCAAGAGCTATAGTTTGGGCACCACTGTTATATAAAGCAGCATTCCATTCTATAGATCACAGGGTTAGATCACAGGGTTAAATGACAGACATTAAATTGTAGTTTGGCTTGCCAGATGGCTGAAGTAGTTAAGGCATTAGCCTACTACTCTGGGAACCCTGTATTGAAACTGGGTGGGGCAAAACTCAAGAAACTGTTTGCATGGTCTGTCCCTCACCACCCAGTTGCCCCATTGTAGGCCTGGTCGACTCCATGATTGGTTTGAAGAAAAGATCTCTTACTTGACCACAGGGTGGAGAGTCCAAACTGGAAAAAAGAATTTATAGTTTGATCTTCATATTTCAACATGATGTGGTTGTGGTTTATTTTTGGTACTATTCTAAACTTTGTTAATTTTTTTGATCTATGTTCAATAACATAGACCAAAAAAACACTACAAAAACACTACACTACAAAACAACTTGAAATTATAACACTACAAAACAAACACTTTCACATATGTATTTATGAAAACAGAACACCTGGAGAAACTTCTTATTAGAAAAAACTTGTTTAAAATCAATNGGCTTGCCAGATGGCTGAAGTAGTTAAGGCATTAGCCTACTACTCTGGGAACCCTGTATTGAAACTGGGTGGGGCAAAACTCAAGAAACTGTTTGTGTGGTCCATCCCTCACCACCCAGTTGCCCCATTGTAGGCCTGGTCGACTCCATGACTGGTTTGAAGAAAAGATCTCTTACTGACCACAGGGTGGAGAGTCCAAACTGGAAAAAAGAATTTATAGTTTGATCTTCATATTTCAACATGATGGCATGGTATGATGTGGTTGTGGTTTATTTTTGGTACCATTCTAAACTTTGTTAATTTTTTTGGCCTATGTTCAATAATTGAAATTATAACACTACAAAACAAACACTTTCACATGTGTATTTATGAAAACAGAACACCTGGAGAAACTTCTTATTAGAAAAAACTTGTTTAAAATCAATGGGCACATATGTTAGATATTTATAAAATGAAGAAAATTTAATACATGATTGTTGTAGAATATAAATTTCATTGATCATAAAAACAATTATTTTTATGCTGATTCAAAACATCAAATTTCATTCTATTTTCTTACTGTTTAGTATTAATTTTCAATAAATGAAATTAGAGGGAGAAAAAGATAATAATAGTAAAACTACCTGTAATCTTAAGTCCAGCAGATACAATCTCTGTCATGTCAAATTACTTTAATAAGACTTTTATTGTTTGAGATACAACTGTCTGGTAAGAAAACAATTCTGTTTTTTTCACTTCTAAAGTTGTCAGTAAATATAAATAATAATAATAATAAATAATAATGAAATCAAGCTCAATGTATTCATTTTAAATGAATAAAATAAGCTTGGTTTTATTTTTTAGTAATAATTTATCAATATTTCACATAAATATAACAAATCCAAGCTGCAACCTAAATTTACACATTTAACAAAATCAAATCAAACTGCCATATTATTTATGAGCTATAAATTATAGCCTTAAAAATGTTCTATAAAAATAACCTAACAGCTTGATTTGGTTTGCTTAACATGGGTATAATTACAGAAAGAAAATATACAGTACACTATTTTTATAAAATGCAATAATTGCATTGTTTTTTTTTTGTTAGTAACATAATTGTTATAATTTTATTATTGTCTTAATTATTTTACTGGGATTTGCAATATAAGCAATTCTCTTACTTTTTTTTTGACTCGTAAACCAAAAAATTTGGTGCCATATTTTATGTTAACGGTTCCCAAAGTGTGTGCCGCAGTGCCACAAAACGTTATAAAATTTTTATAATGTTAAAACTTAATGTACTTTTTAGAATTTTGTATAATATACTTGTTAGAATTTGACATAGGGCACCTTGGAAAAATCTGCATTTATCAAGGGTGCCTAGAATCAAAAAAGTTTGGGAACCACTGTTCTATGCCAAATTTCAATTGTTTAGAATCTCAGTGAATAAATTAACAGCACAAGTATTTGTAACATTATTTATTCACATTGTAGTTATAAATGCATTTCAAATCATTATATTTAGTGATTTCTCTTCAGTATAACATCTAAAAGAAAAGAATTGATACAATACTTTTTTAAAAAGGTATAGTAAAAATACAGTTTGGTTTGTTACAGGGTAAAACATGATGCTTACAAGTATTTATGTAGCTAGCAGATGTGGCTATCCAGTGATATCAGAATGCCTTGACAATTAAACACTGGTAAAACATGGGTGATACTATTTTAGATAAATCATAGCACCACCCATGTTTTACCAGTGTTTAATCATCAAGGCATTCGGATATCACTGGATAGCCACATCTGCTAGCTACATAAATACTTGTAAGCATCATGTTTTACCCTGTAACACACCAAATTGTATTTTTACTATACCTTTTTAAAAAGGTATTGTATCAATTCTTTTTTTTTAGATGTTATACTGAAGAGAAATCACTAAATATAATGATTTGAAATGCATTTATAACTACAATGTGAATAAATAATGTTACAAATACTTGTGTTGTTAATTCATCCACTGTGATTCTAAACAATTGAAATTTGGCATAGAATATTGCGCCAAATGTTTTGGTTTACAAATCAAGAAAGAAGTAAGAGACTTTATTATTTTCATTTATGAAAAATATGGATAAATGTTGAATTTTTTCAGAAAATAATAATTTTATTCTTTTATCAAAAAATTGAATTTTTAGTTTCTTTTGAATATTGTTTATTATGAGAATTAGCACTGTAAAATAATTTATTTTATTGGTTTTACCTTTTTATTATACTAAATATAAAATTTTTTAAATTTCTCTTTTGTAATTGTTCTTAAAAATTTATTTCCTAGCATCCCGAGCAAAATTAACTGTTAGCTCTAAACTTAGAGGTGGAGCTAAAGTTCATGCTTATCCCCAACCTGAAGGAATCCTTGGTGAAACAATGATTAAATTTGGAAAAGATTTAGGAGAAGAGTCTGCATTTTGTAAGTTTACAATATTGCATAATCTAAGAAATATTTGTGTGTAAAATGTCATTTTAAATAGGGTATATGAAACAATTCAATAATTATATTCACTTATTTTGATGCTGAAAATCTGTTTAAGCTTGCATTCATAATTCTTTAAAGAAGAGGACCAAATTGTTGAACCAAATTGACAACCCATTTATTCACAAATGCTTAAAGATCAGGGTCCTGTGTATGAAATGTATGTTCAAAACTTATCAGCTTATGTAATAGTGTGTACATTTAGTGTCATACATTTCTTATGGCTTTCCTGAGACAAAGCTGACTTTGACGTGGAAGCAGAGTTACAACCAACCAATAATCTAATATAGTCAGTTGACATGGGAAGGCTTTGTTACTGAAGCATTGAATGAGAAACTCTCACTTGGCCCTAGCCCTGTACAGTTTTAGGACTAGCTTTCTGTTTCAATACAACAAATTGCAATGCCAGTCATGTGTTTTCTTGAAAGTATAGTGAAAAACCTGAAGAAAAGATGCTTGTAAACAAAAATTTACACTTTATAAATTCCAGTGATAAGTTTAATAATGTAAAAATGTTCTTGATTAAATTAACAGTTTTCTTCAGTTACTGAACTATGAAATACAAAAGTCCAAACAAAAAGAATACAAGATAAAAGTTTTAACATAAAATAGAATATATAAATTTAAACATAACAGAAAATGATACATAATAAAGACATACAAAATTAAATAAAATGAAAATAAAATAATAAAATATATTGTAGAAGTAAAATAATACAAGTTAGAGTTTATATATGGAATGCTGTGTGGTAGACAAGGTGTCTGCATCATGGTAATTCACACTTGCACTTTTTCTGTTAGCTTTTTAATTTAGGTATTTAAGGGAATTTACGTTCATGGAAGATCTGATTAATTATATTCACCTTTTAATTTTTGTAATCTTATAAAACAAAAATCCAAGACAAATTTAAAAATGTTATCAAATACTGTTATTTTATGAAAGTACTTTGTTTGTAATTTGCTGTTTTTTATGTTATGAAATCATCGATTTACTGTTTTAGATGCTTTATTTATTATACAATAGCTACAAGTTTAATAGAAGCAGGAGAAGGCTTGAAGCAAATGGCAGAAATTAAATATGCCCTTGAAGATAATGTAAAACAAAATTTTCTGGAACCACTTCATCACCTGCAGTCGAAAGATTTGAAAGATGTTATGGTAAATTAAACATAAGATTAAAATTAAATGAATTAATTTGATTGTATTAAAAATAAAATTATTTTTTCAGCATCATCGAAAAAAACTGCAAGGCAGAAGACTCGATTTTGATTGTAAGAAACGAAGACAGGCTAAAGGCAAGCATAAAAAGATTTAATAATAAATACAACTTTAGAACTTAGATATATATAATATGCTTTTAATTTTATATATGCATATGTAATAAATATTTATGCATGAAATTAAGTTTTTGATGCATGATAAGTTTGTGTATTTCTTATTCTCTGCATCCCTCCAACCTGTCTATGATCTCTGCCATAGGATCACCCTTACAACCTCGAAAATCTGGTATGTTGTATATTAATTTCAATGTGTTATGCTAGATTGTAAAGATAGATTATGTGGATGCTCTGATTGCATTTTCATCATTTTATTTTGCTTTGATATAAAATTATTATTTCATTTAAGAATTTTTAATATCAGAAACATTCCTGCTTTAAATATCTTTTTAAAATTTTCTTTATTCATTATGGTAGTAATTTTTTTAATGTTAAAAATAAATCAATAAATTTTTAAAAACACTTTTAGATACTGTATATTANACGAACATTTTTATGGAAACGAAGTGTATAACCTGTCTGTCACACTGAGGTATACCAGATTATTTCGGGCCAGATTAGCTAGAGTGTACCGTGTAAGAAACCAATGTAAAGAAAATAATTTTAAAATTTAATAATAATAATTCTGGACTGAATAAAATTGTTATACTTTCATCAGTAGAATAAAATTGTTAATACTTATTGTTATAGAGTTGTTAATTGTTAATACTTATTGTTATAGATATTGTTAATTGTTATAGAATAAAATTGTTAATACTTTCATCAGTAGATCTTTTTAAATCAAGTTATTAAGAATCAAATTAATTCCTAATGTTTTATAATTACATACATCTGTTTCTGTATTGTTGGAAAACAGATGTAATGAATTAGGACATTGAATTTGTTTAAAAATCTTAAGAAATTTTATTTAATTAAGTTTTTAAATTAAATTCAATGTTTATTAATCAAAACTCACTTAATTTAGTTAATGTATATACTTTTTAAAAATTATTTAATGAAAAAAGTATAATGTAAATTACAGTACTATCAAATTGAATAACATTTTATACTTTTTAAGTAATTCTTCAAAAACTTGTGTTTAATACAAAGTTTTAATTAGTTCTTGAAGTTAAAAAAAAAATGATTTGCAAAAATCAATACCACAGCAATCTAAACTTTTTAATTTTATATCCTTTAAAAAGATATTAAAAGGGTCAGGTCATAATTATCGATCGCAATGAATAAAATAGTATGAAGTGGGTCATATTTACTTAAGTTTTTACACACCTTCTAAATAGTCTCTGGCCTTGTGTAACACCCATTGCCAAATGTCTGGCAGGCACTGTACTCCATCAGCAGAGCATCGTGGATAGAGTGCATGGAGGATTGTATTGCAGTTAGACTGGCATCTGTCAATTAAAGTTAACTTCAGGAGAAATTCCTCTCATCATTTGATATTTTTAAAAAAGAACCCACACTCCTTTCCAAGAATTATGCATTTTGAGTGCTTTTCCGTGAAAATTTTATCAATAACCAAACCTGGCAACCTCAATAAGCCAACACGATGCTGGCTTATCGAGGTTGCCGGCATACCAGATGCTGGGTTAATGGAATTTCACTGTTTTGTAGACCATATAGAATATTTGTGTTTCCCTGTTTCATTCAAAAAAATAAAATGCAAATAAATAATTCAATTAAGTTGTAAAATTAAAGAAAAGATGGATTGTGTGATAATCAGTTGTATAATTTCCTACCTAAAAGAAACAACTATTCATGTGTTTGAGCAAACATAATACATTTTTCTTGCTGTCAATGAGAAACCTTATTTATGTTTGTTAAACAAAACTAATTGATTTTATATGTATATTATAAAATTTTGCATGTCATAGATTCAGAAAATTGACTTTTATTGCTTACATTACTTTTCGTTACTTACTGTATATAGTTAATATTCTTTATAATCTTAAATCATTTTAAAACAATATAATTTAAAGTGTTTTATATAGTTTATTGTAAAGCTATTTATTATAATTTTCTTTTATTTTTGTATTTATTGCTAAAAATGTTTTTGAATGCAATATGTTGCTTGCATGTTTTTTCAGTTTTAAGTAATATATTATGAATAACTTTGTATAATTGTTAGAAATTTTACCAAGTTAGTAAGTTGACAAATCATAAATCAACAAATGTAATTATGACAGATGTGGAATTTATACATACAGTTGAATCTGATTAATTTGGTGAATTATTGCATAATTTAAACCCACTATTATGCTTCTTAAAATGTATTTTAAATAATGTTTAAAAAAAAAGATCAAATTTTTTTGGTATAAATTTGGATAAAACAAAGTCAATATGTCTCATATATTGAAGATAAAACTCAAATAAAAAATAGTATATAATTAATTGATTTAAACAACATATACATTTCAGATACATGTTTTGCTCCTGGCCATGAGCAAAAATATGTAATCTAATAATTGAGTCTAGAGAGTGAAACTGTTTAGCTATATTTTTAAAATGTCTTAGTGTGGAACATATACAAGTTTATCTTTAGCGTAAAAAATTGAAGCAATTTTTTAAACTAGTAGAAAGGACTTTTAAGGAGTAGAAAAGAAAATAAAGAAAAAAATGTAAATGTAATTTCAGCAAAAATGTGAAATACTGACAAATGCTAGAAACTTATAGAAAATAAGTTTGATTTTCAACAATGAATAATTTGAAGTTTTGGTAATTTGAACTTTTTGAATTCTTTCTGAATTCAAGTAAATAGATTTAATTGTATGTATATGTATATAAATTCATAATAATAATATTATTATTATTATTATGAAATTTTTTTGTTTTAATACAGTAGAACTTGGAAAATTTAAATGTTTTCTCTGGACCCTTGAATTTCATATAAAAGTAATGCAAAAAATTTCTTCTTTAATCTGAGCTTGTTTTATTAATTTGAAGTAAAATTGTGAGAAGTTTTTTAAAAATCACCTGCAATATTGAAATAAAACGTGTTTAACTAACATTGTTAGTGTTGTTTGGGAAATTCCAGACTACTGTATCCAGCATGTTTTGTAGCCTTAACTTAAAAAAAGGTTTTCTTTTAGCTTTAAAAAGAGAGAGATTGAGAATGACAGCAAGCCACAGAATGTGGGAAAACATATCTAAAGTTTCCAATCACTGAATTAGTTTTTATTTTGAAGTAACTCTTTAACTTTGAATTATCTAAGTTTTACTGATGAAAGATTGCATATGTGCATGCACTTATAATTTTTAATTAGAATATTATTATATATAAATAACAGAAATACAATACAATTTTTATGAAGTTATCAGTCAAATGATCTACATGAAAAAGCAATGGTTAAGGTTGATTTTAGGGTATGAAATTGTATTTGCATTGAATGAATTAGAAAGTCTATTAGAACAAGAGCTAGTTAATCTTTAATTTTAATTATTTTCTGTTTATGTTAATAAAACAAATTATCACTTGAAGAAAAGTAAGTGGGATACTTACTTTGATACTTCTCATAGAAAAGTATGACACAAAGGATCACTTACAAAGCTCAATTATTCTCTGCAGTGAACTATCAATTCATTTAACTGACAAATGAACATTATCATAATCTTTAAACCAATAACAATAATCTCAAACAAAAGAAAATTTAAAATGTAAAATTTCTGAAATATTGAAGTGTTTAATGTAAACATTTCCTAATATTGTAGGAAAAAGAATTTATAAAATATAGAAGACGAAAAGTATAAAAATATGATAAATTTAACTTTCTAATGATCTTAACATGTACACCTCTCTACTTTCTTGGAAATCAAAAATTGAAATCTCTCTCTCAACCCAATTCTAACTACATCATCAGAGTATGTAATACAGGTATATAATCTGTTGCACTTTTGTCACAATAGTCCCAAGTTTATATCTAAGAAGCTCAAAAGAAATCGTTTTTTGATCTCCAAAAAAATGTACAGTACTTCACAATTCAAAGTTATGAATTAAATATATTAAGTTTAAAACTGTTGTGACGTTGTTAGATCAAAATATTATAACCAACAACAGACCACCTTTCTTACTGAAAAGTAAGGAAGGAGGTCTCTTGTTGGTTATAAGAAAGGTCCAGCTTTTGAGGAGTCTTTACTTGGATCAAAATATTTTAATTTTTTTCTCATATTGATAAATTTTGAATAAAATTTTTTTTGATGTATACAGTATATAAATACCATAACAATTGCATTTCCACTGTGAATGCATATACTTGCTATCTGGTGTGGTGCTGAAGAATACAGATTTAATCAATGTATGATAATACAACTGAAAGAAATTTCTAAAATATTGTGTATTTTTTATTCACTGTTTTGTAATCTGATTGAAGAGATAAGATCCTGTTTATAATGTATTAAACATTTTTTAAAAATATATTTTAATATATTCTTAATAAAATATATAACTATAACATTAATGAATAAATAAATGAATAAAGTTTTAATGAATAAATTTTCTTTTATCAGGAACACACGTCAGTGAAGAAGAAATAAAACTAGCTGAAGATAAATTTGAAGAATCTTTTAATTTGGCTTCTATGGGAATGTATAATCTTTTAGATAATGATGTAAATTTCTTTTATTATAAAATTTGTTTGAAGAATATAAAGATAGACAATTAAAAAGTATATAATTTAATTCTTGTATATATTTAGATAGAACAAATATCTCAATTAGCTGCTCTAACTGAAGCTCTTTATGAATATCACAATCAATGTGCTGAAATTTTACAAACAGTTTCTGAAAGATTGGCAGAACAGTAAGTTAATTAAGACATTAATAAATATATTTATAGTAAAAGTTTGAAAGATTAAACTGAAAAGTACATAAGTAGTTTTTTTAAAACAAAGGATGGATTCCTTTTCTGTTTTCCTGAGTGATATGAACTCAGAATTGAGAAACAATAACTTTAATGAAGGATAATTTTCATTAAGTATTCTTTGTGATTATTTAAACATGACTACTATATATTTAATTAATTATGATGGACAGTGTACATATAAAACTAAATATTAAAGTGAATATAAACAAATTTTGTTTTTATTTTACATATTTAAGGACATATTATGCATCTGTATATTTCATAAATATATATGATTTAATGTAATATACTTTAAAGTTTTTATAATATGTATGCAAGTATTCTTTTTTTATATTAAAGTTGCCGTTGTATTCTTTTATAGGAAGAATAATGCAGACAGTCGTCCTCGAGAAGCATATCAACCAAAGAAACTTTATGAATTGAACATCCCCGATTTAGGTCTCAGAGATGATATTTCTCCACAAATAGATACAGGTGGACATTTTAACGGTGCACCCCCTCCATATCCCGTTGTAACAGGTAGTTCGCTAATCGCATGTATGTAGATTCCATTGCTCCCTTGGAATGACGTCTGAGTATGATGAGCAACATTTTATTGATATTGCATGTTTGGTGTATTAGAGATGTTTCCAATATTTTCATATAAAATTATTATTACTATATTTTTTTAATTTAAAAAGTAAATGTGTTTTACGTGTATTTAAAGACTTAAAGATAATCATTATGTACAGGGATTTTATTTTAATTTTGTAAAATTTTATAAAGGCATGATGATATGTTAATGTGGATACATCTCTCATAGTTTTGTGTGTGTACCTTGTGATAATTTATTTATTTAGAAAATCAAATTCATAGTTCTGTGGTTGAACTATATGAAAAGTTAAAGTATTCTTTAATTCAAAATTTAAATTATATTAAAATCTTAAAGTACTAGTGAAGAAATGGTGTTTAAGACTTTATTTTTAAATAAAATCCAAACTGTTGTTTATAGAAGTTTTATTTTAATTATTTGACTATAATTGTTTTATCATAAAGCAATATATTTAAGCATTTAATTTACAGGAAAAACAAAATATTTTTTCAAAATCAAAATTGTCTTTTTAATTAAAAGGAAATATTTGTCATTTTTGTCATAAAAATATAGATATATTTACTGATATATCTGCATAGCTATAGACAATATTTAAATTCTCTTTCAAGGAATTCATTCATTAATATTTTCAAAAATGATCAAAATGTGAAAGGAAAATTTCAGGAAAGAAAATAATTATATAAATATTCATATATTATTAATATAAAATAAAATATTGTTTTATGATCAATCAAATTATATCTCAGATATGGCTTTTCAAAATGTACAAATTATTACATTTTTGTCCGATGCAAATATTGCATTAGAAATTTTTAATTAATTTTAATTTATTATATTAGTATCTTCTTATATGCATTAAATAAATAGAAAATAATAGTATTTATTAATAGAAATTATTTTGTTATATTACAGTACTATAGATTTATTTGAAAAACTTTTATTAATTACAAATCTGTATCACAATCTTCATATGATTGTAACCAATTATTAGAACATATATATACAAGGTCTGTTCAAAAAGTATCGGACCTGTGGTCGGCAAAAATAAATTTATTGACTTTGAGGTACAAAACCCTAATCCCCTTCAAAGTAGTCTCCTTGGTAATGTATACACTTCTCCCAGCGTTCCTGCCATTGCTGGAAACACTGCTGGAACGCATCTTTTGGAATGGTTATCAGCCGGTCCGTCGCATTTCGCATGATGTCTTCTCTCGACTAAATTTGGGTTCCTTTTAGCGGCATTTTCAGCTTGAGAAATAGCCAAAGGTCACACGGAGCCATGTGGAGAGAGTACGGAGCGTGACGAACCACAGGAGTATTGTGTTTGGCGACGAAAGCCCGAATCAGATGCGCAGAATGGGCGGATGCGTTATCACGATGGAGCTGCCAAGTTTTGATCGACCACAGATCCCATCGTTTGCATCGCACTGTATCGGAAAGACGACGAAGGACCTCCTGGTAGTACTCCTTTGCGATGGTTTGGCCTTGTGGTGCGTACTCACGACACACCACCCCACGAGAGTCGAAAAAACTGTCAACATGACCTTTGATATTGCTGCGGACCTGCCGCGCTTTTTTTGGCCTCGAGGATCGTCCCCGAAAGCCTGCTGAATCTTGCGAATGGTTTACACTCGGGTATCGCCAAGGTTTTTGGCAAAATTTGATGTAATATCGCTGCTCACGTTGTTCAGTCATTTTCCAGCTTAGTGAAATCCGACGAGAGCGCACTACATGACCTCACTCATACGCCGATTGCCAACGACTGACGCTTTCTGCAGGCGGGAAAAAATTCAGGGCTGTGCATGACTGTCCCCTCCACAACTCCACCGAAGGAGGCCTCTCTCGCATCATTGGTTTACGCGGAAAAAAATAAGGTCCGATACTTTTTGAACAGACCTTGTATATAGATAATAATGTACTATATATATACAGTACATTACTATAAATTAAAAGTCTTATTTCTATCAAAAACTTTTTTCTCAACCACTCAGCTATGATTTCTGATATCTATAAGTATTGCTCTATAATTAACATCTTTTCTCAGCTTCCCCAGCTCGCTCTCCTGCTTCCTCACCCGTTAATCCACGTCAAGTTGAACCATTGTTTCTTGGTAGCTTCACTACTGGTCAGGGAGCTGCAACTTCTCCTGCTCGTACCCCCAGTCGTTCTCCTAACGGTACTAACGTTCCTTTCTATAATTTTCCTATATGTGAATTGTGTTATATGCAGCTTTGCTTAATTAATTCTTTGTAATTTGTAATAAATTTTTCTATTTAATCCTCTCTTTTCTTTAGCTTGAACTCTCTAGGATTATCTTTATCACAAATTTTTTTAATAATTTTAAATATTAAGTACAGAATTCACGACAACTCGTTATTTTAAATGATTTTTCTNTTTCATCTACTTTTAATGCCCAAATTGTTTGCATAATTACTGAGTAAAAAACTATATAATAAGTAATATACAGTTATGTGGAATACAAAAAATTAAATATGCGCATATTATTTTACATGGATGTAAGATAATTTTTCATGTTTTACATTATAAAAACAAGAATGAACTTTTTCTTTAAATCAATAGATACATTTAAAAATTGAATATTCTAAATTAATAACTTTTAACTACTGTCATGAGTTCTCATAGAGCACTCAACACGTTCATTGTTGTAGGATTCATCACTGGTATGTTAAAGCTTATTGTTTTCTGTATTTTTAAGCTAGTCTGTGCTGTGAACGGTTGCTTAGTCTGCTTGCTATTTCTAGTCAGTAGTTTTCCATTTTTACAAGTTTAAAATTTAAGATGCTCTGAGAGACTGCATCACAGTATAAATGTAATATATATGTCTAAAATGGCTTCTGTTTCTGGAATTTCTAAATAAGTTTGATATGGGGGTTCAGATTTTGAGGAATGCCATTTTAAATAGTATAAAACATTTTTTATTGGTGTAAGTGATGTAGAATGCAATTGTGAGAATGATGATAAAAGTCAGTCATTCTCTTGTAGCACTAACAATGAAATAAATGAGCACAAACATATTAGATCAGTGGTTCTGAAACTGGTCCATGGACCTCCAGCGGTCTGCAAGATACTTGTCAGGATACAAGATGCCTCAGATGCTTATTATTATTGTAGTTTATTAATTAATGACTAAATGGTAACAGCTGAAAATAGAGGTCTACCAAAATACACTATATCTTTTATAAAAGGGTTGGATGACCTTTCAGAGGTTTAGAACCATTATATTAGAAAATCGGTTCCAGTTGATTTAGGAAATATTAAAATGTTTCAAGAAGCCAATATGTTCGAATGCACAAAAAAAATTTCTGTCAAATTTGCAAAATAATTATATTATTATTGTACTCATGTTACATTATCACAAATAACTTTATAAACGTTCATTTATAATATATAACTTTTGAAATAGATGTTAAATTTTAATTGACTTTTTATATGGAATTATAATTTCCAAAAATAAAAGGTGTTGAACCTTTGAGTTTTTGTTCCCAGTTTAAGTTATAATTTGGGTTACTTTTGTTGTAAGTATAAGGTATTGTTAATAAATAAATGTATCTGTAATATATTTTTGTTTTAAACTTACCTCATAACAAAGATAGCTTAAAACATTAAAACGTATCAAAAAAAATTTCCACGCTTCTTAAATAAGTGATTTGTGAGATCCTACGACAGTGTATGTATACATGCAACTGACACAGCAGAATGAAAGTTAAGGATTAATGTAAGATCTTCCTTATCTCTTGATTAATAAATTAAGAGCTTATTTATAATTTATTTTAGATATTTTAAGAATAATTTATATTACATTTTGTTAAGATTTGTATTGTGACTATGATCTTTTACATAGTTTTTGTTAGCAGGATTATGTTTACAGTTGACAAATAATTGTATCATTGTATTAAAAATTTATATTAAAAGCTTAAATTTTGTTCATTGCATTTTAGTATTGAAATTTGATGTAAACCTTTGAATATTGAAAAATTTTATATTTATAATGAAATCTCTTTTAATTTGTAATTAATGATGATAAATTTCAAATGATTTTCAGTAAAAGTATTTAATTAATTATTACAGGTATCCCTTGCTTAATGCGGGATTTGATTAACACACAAAAGTAATTGTGGCAATCCCTTTATATACGTAGTAGAATTTTTAATTAATGCAGCTTTACTAGCTGTCTTTACTTATCATAGATATTGTATTTGATTAACGCAATTCTGATATACATGGTAGCATCAAGGGATTAATTAACTGCATTAATGAAGGGATACCTGTACAATAAGTAATTGTATTTTTCACTAACACATTAATATTTATGTAATACTTCATAGATATTTATAACCATTTTTTAGACATCCTTTTGTATTAGAATATTCAAGTTTTAAAAATTAGTAAATCATTATAGCTATAAATGCTGTAATAACTCTTTTTATTTTCCACAACTTATAATTTATAGCTTTAATTTAGAAACTGTAGACTAATACTTTTATAGTAGAGTGTTGATTATCCAAATAATTGATTAATGAAAATTGACTTAGGAGAGTCCTAATTCCAGAAATTACCAAGGTTTTTACATAATAATAATTGTCTACAATCTTCTGTAGACCTGTATTGAGCTGTCTTGTTGTCATTAGTAGTTTAGGTTTTATTTATTATAGTACAAGTAGAAAAGTATGATTAATAAGTCCCAGGCTTCTATTGTATTAAATTTCTATGCCTTAATCTTTATTATTATTGTACTAGAATTAGTCTTTATAGTTTAAGATATTTGTTATCCTTTCCTTAAGTGTGATCAATTATCTGATATTGCCTGACCCAATTATTTTGGATAATTGACACTCTACTGCAGCGGTTCCCAAACTTTTTCAGTCATAGAATTCTTCAGAAGACTGTTTTTTGCAGAACCATCTCCCTGATTTTTTACTGAGCATTGCAAACCCACAACTTTCTTTCTTCTTTCATCTACTTTTAATGCCCAAATTGTTTGCATAACAGATTTGAAAAGAAAGAGAGAACATTTTTACATATAACCACAAACTTTTATTTTGGTACAACAAAATATTGGACTTACGTGGTAGGGGTCAAAAGATTCTGGTCTATGTTTTAGATGTTAGAGGTATAAACAATGATGTCATTTCCCTTTGCAGTTCAACATACATGTTACATCTTGGAATTAGCATTTCAATACCCTTGAAAAAATAGTCTGCAGTTTTGTCTGAAAAATGCTCATAAACTGCCTCTTGCAACTCTTCATCACATTTTTAAAGGTCTTTATGAGTTTTGGAAACAGATAATCACTAGGAGCCAGGTCCTGGCTGTAGGGTGGATGGTCACGCTCCTCAAACCCACATTCCTTCACATCAGTGTTGGCAATGGCAGCCGTATGCACTGGCACATTGTTCTGTAAGAAGTGAACATGATGCAAATTAATGCAACAAATCTAACTAAAATGAATGTTTCCAAGCAACTCATGCAAATTGTGTAGGAAAAACTGTTTTATTAGTCCACATACAGATGGTGCTATCTGATACTGTCATTATTTTATCCCTATCATGTCTAAAAATAGTTAGGCCAGAAAGTTTTGGCAACTACCACATATATCTAATGTGATGAATGAGATTGTTTTATTTTTGTACTTAAAATAGTTTTGTAATTGGGTTTTATGCCCAACCTCTGAATACATAAATCCAGGTGGCATCCTGCTCCCAAATTTCTTTTTAGCATAAGCTGAAAAATCTAATTCTCGGTGATAAGTGGAGACAAAGGGAAGCAGAACTTGGCTAGCTTTTTCAGCTACTGACAAGTATTGAGCTAGCAGTCTTATCCAAAATCATTGTAGCACAGATTCAGATTTTGTTTTAAGGCAGAGATATACTGAATTTCAGTAACCTCTTCATACTCTGTCATGGACAACATTTGAGGTTTATTTTGGTTGAAAATTGGGTTTTGCACCCAGTCAAAGTCCATGTTGGTGTTTGGAAAGTACTCTGACAGAGATTTTACAACATGCATTAAATACTTGTAGTATCAAATGTTTTTGTGCCCATCAACTTCAATTTTCAACTCATTTTCACGCAGTTTGTGTTTGTAGGTGGAGTTATTAGTTTGCAGAAATGGCAAAATACAGAAGACTAATTGGTACTTGTTTAGTACAATGTCTTTTCATGTAGAAAGTTGGTTTTGCAATTATCAAAATAAGACAATTATTTATTATTTTCAATGATTTTATTTTAAAATTCTTTTTAAATTTGATTTTTGAGCTTTACTTGAACCTCTATCAAGCTTTTGTGGAACGTTACAGTTCCAAGGAACATGGTTTGGGAACCACTGCTTCACTGTATCTTATTTAAAAAAAATTAAAAATGCAATATTTGAATGGTTTAAATATCTTAAAACATTTACTTTTTATGAACAAAATATTTTTGAAATAATTATTTTGATATTTTGATGGTTCAGTTATTGATAGATATTATATATTCATTACTTTTTATAAAATATTTTGTTCAAAGCAATATCTACTAACAAATATACTAAATATAACAAAAATTGCAACAACAATTCTTCAGCTTCTCCTTTGCCTTCTCCTGTCCGTTCTCCAGCCAGGACTCCTGTTCGTCAACATCCTTGTTGTCAAGCACTGTATGACTTTGAACCTGAAAACGAGGGAGAACTAGCCTTCAAGGAAAGTGATATTATCAATTTATTAAATCGGATCGATGAAAATTGGTACGAGGGAACGATCAATGGCCGCACAGGTCTCTTTCCAGTCAATTATGTCCAGGTCCTTGTACCATTGCCATAAAATGGTAAGAAATGACTAAAAGTTTTGTCATAGACACACACTATGAATTATATTTGAATTTATTATTTATGAAATTTATTATTATGAACAATTTAAAATAATATGTCTACCTATACTAATAGAATTTTTACCATTTTTCGTTGCAGTTACAGAGATAACATCAGAGAAATTATCAGTGAAATGTTAAGCAGATGAGAGATGATGATTTAAGATCTTGCTTTTTACATGCCAAAGATTTGTATAGATTTTATTAAGTTCCCTAGAATATGTTGCTGTGACAGAACATATTGGATTGTTTCAGAGGAATGATGAGATTTTGCAACTGCATTTGCACCAAGATTCTATAAATTATAACTCAAGAATAAAGATTAGGAAACCAAACACTTTATTTTTGCAGCGTTCGGCATTATATTTTTGTTCAAATTCAGAATCGACATATTTTTTTTTGTTGTTACTTATTTCTTAATTAGTATAAAACCCTTATCACTAATGAACTGAACATAAGTTTGTAAAACGGCAGTATTTATGGTAACTTTTACTTTGTCTGACATTGTTATTTTTATTTATGTCCATCAGTATCTGCAATGAATTCAGAAGACCGAAAAGTATTTTTGTACAGTATGATTGTTACAATGTAGATTTATTGAAAAGTTAGTTTATTATTATTATTTTTTTTTTTAAGTTTTGTGCCATAATCTATCCTCTCCATTTATAATTTTGCAGGGAATATTTATTTATATCTGGAGTCAGTAGTGGTCTTGATTATTGTTATTTGCCAATTAAACAGAAGTCTTCTCTCATCTGCTGCAATTTTCAACTAAAAATTATAAAAAAAAAAGAAGAAAAAGAAAAAAAAAAGCACAAACCTGTTTTATATTTGTACATTTACAAAACAAAAAAATGTATGTTTCTTTTAAGAATTTCTATTAATTCTGGTTGGTAGTTATAAATTGTAATTTATTTATCATCCAAATATTGTTGCGAGTCGGAAGTTTGATTTTAACTAAATTTGGAGTAGCGAAACACGTGACTAAAAGATTTATTTTTCCTTATTTTGAATACAAGTCTACTTCTTGGTTTCCAAAACATTAAGGATTAAAAAAAGAAAAAGGAAAAAAGGAAAAATATCAATACCAGATAACATATAAACATACACTTACGCATTTTAAAAATTCTATATTATGGTTGTCATTTTTTCTCCGATGTCAATAACAACTATATTTGTGATTTTGAATATATTATGTGTGATTGAGTACAAATTATATTATAAAATGTCTTTCTATTTGAATCGCAGAATGTAAATTCATTTTAAAAGTGCTCAGAGTTTATATATTTTTCAGAATATTCTAAATTTTGTAAAAGTCGATTTCACTTTCTTTCACCTGTTAATGTTTCGGTGTAATTGTGACTTTAAAATTGTAAAAGAAAAAAAATAATAATCTATTAAGATGGTTATTTTGGTGAAGTGGAGGTGGAATATATAAGTGTGTAGTCCTGCTAATCGCACATCAATAATAATTGTCTGAAATATTGTGGATAGCTTTAGTTTTGTAGTATCATTTTTTTTTTCTTTTGTTTTGATGGTAAGCATCTGCCCTTAGATGCAAAGAAAAAAATTGTTTTTCAATAAAAAGTGCATTAAAATTCTCTTAAAAAAATGAATAAAGAAACAGTACTTACTAAGAACATGCCATTCTTTGCAATAATCATTTGTTCCATGAGTATTTTCCCAAAATTGCAGATTAGACTATCAAAAATATATATATATATAATAAATGAAAAGCAAAATATATATAAATATATATATTTCTGTATATGCCATGATCTTTATACGTTGTTCAAAATTTATAGATTATACTACACTGTTACCAATTTGTTAATGGTGCCATAATTGGCATGGATAACTAATAGTAATTGTATTTTTCTTGGATGTTGTTATTTTTATGAATGATTTATATTTTGAAGTGATAGAACATTGCTTGTCTAAATCTTTATGATCTGAAGAAGTCACTGCCATTTGTTGTCAGTTATTATGGCCTGCGACGTGAACATTTGCATCCAATCGGACTCCAGGATTGTATCAGTATATTCCATTAGCACCCGTGTGTTTATTTTTCATATTTTCTTTTTTAAGTGTTCATCTTATTACAATATTGATGGTTGTGTATATAGTATCCTTTTGACATTTTTCCTCTATGTTTGTCGGCAGAATAATGCCACGAAACTTCTCAGTGTCAAGTGTTTTTGATGTTGTAACAACAGATATCATTAAAAAAAAAGAAAAAAAAATTCTTCCGGCAATGGTGCTCTGGCCGTGGAATACCATGTTATCATCGGATTTTTTTCTTCGGTGTGTCGAAATTCTAGCAAATTGTTGACTTTCCTTTCGGAAAGTATTGAAATTCTAACAAGGCGGAGTTATATAGTTGAAGAATTAAATATCATATTACATTTTGAATATGTGTAAACAGTATATTATATATTGTCATGTTTTTATTTTCCTCCAGTTCCATAAAGCACCTCTCTTCTCATGGTATAAATGTGTACTTACTGTATCTATTCCAATGTGTCCTAGACAATTAGCTGTAGGCAATCAACCAAGGAGCTCTCCTACATATATTTATTTTTTATTTTTATTTTTTTGTTTGTTTTCCTCCTCCGTGCTCCCACAAAATCTGTAATGAGTTTCACAAAGTTGATTTCGTTCAGCAATAAAAACCTAAATCTTGTCAACTGATGGCTGCGATTGTACTGTGCAGCAAAAAGAGATGTAAAGATTCTTTTATTTGTTTGAAAGTTGTCAGTGGGAGATGCAAAATAAAGAGCCGTTTTTCTCGCAGTATACATAAGTCTGATCTTTTGTGTTTATCACACACATTTCACTTGTCTGTGTACAAATAGTTGTTATTAGAAGGATTGTCTTACACGATCAGCCCCAAAACAATTAGCATGAGTTTTGTGGTGTGTTGGACCACGTCCATCACCACCCGGCTGCCCCATTGCAAGCTCGATAAAAAGACCCTCTCAGTGCCAACAGGGCGGATTTTAAAAAATCCTACAATCGTTGTTGCACAAACAAGCCTGTATTGTTAACTTCACGCTATGAATGACTTAACAGAATGAAATTTTAACACTCCCCTAATGAGAATGTCCAAACATAAGCCATTCCCGTACGTCATCACTTCATAGAAATCCATTAATATCAATGAAATGCTTAGCACTAATAATTTGAATATTTTCTAATAGAAGATAAATATATTTCTATACAATTGTTGTTATAAACGACCAGAACGCTTCGTGGCATTTAAAAAAAATCCACCAACGAGTTGCGTAACTTTTCCGTGTGTGACGCCGTTACGAGATTTTATATAAAATTATTATTATTATAAAATTTAAAATGTTATAATAAAAAATAACCACAATAAAACAATGAAAATAATAATTTTACGTAGAAACAATCCATAAAGGCCCCGCGTCTTATGGGTGCCATATTTCTAAATGCTCCATTGTGTGTACAGTTGAACCCGTTTACTTTGGGACTTGCCTTTGCTGTAGTCCTCGAGATACGTATCCAGCCCTGACGAGAGGGAAAATACATTACACTGGTAATGAGGTGCTTACAGGGGGTCCGAGGGCCCGTTTTTTAAAGCAAATTTCTTTTGTTTCTTGCAAAGACACGTCACTGTGATGTATGGAGAAGGGAATATAGAAAAATAATATAATAAAGGTCGGATTCGGTTGTGTCGGGTGGGGAATTTTCCCACCTGTCCAGGTTGGGAAATGTGGTTAGGGAAGGGGCCAAGAGATCTGGTGGTTTTACCGGAGCCCATGCTGTCTCTCCACGGAACTGTATATACACTTTAGGGGTCCATAAACCACCTGCCCTAAATTTAGGAAAGCTTTGGCTTCTTTTCCTTTTGTAGCATTTCGTATGCCACTAAATATCACCACCAAAAACACCTGATGTCTTCTCTTTCCCCTCTTGGAAATAAAGAAAACATTTTAAGAATTGGGGTATTTGTATCTTCACCATTTTCTGGGAGTAAGCAGACTATGCATTAAAAAGCAAAACACAAAAAATAAAAAGCGCACTTGTAAGTCCTATCCTCCTACTCTCCCTATTGTAGGGAGGTGGTCCGTCTGGATATGTCGGGACTGTCCCTCACCACCCGGCGGCTGTCTAGTTACAGGCCGGGCCGAACCCATAATGGACTTACTATAGAGGATCCCCTTAATGCCCGTAGGGCACAAAGTTAGAAAAAACCTCCATATTGTTTTGCAGTGTTTGTATGGGTTCGACCTCCATCCCCTTTTCATGAAACGTGGTTTATGGACGGGCCCAAAGAAATGTAAAAACTCTTGGCATTGAAAAAGTTCTACAAATAACACCTAACTGATGGTTTAATTTGTATGCTACTAATAATACCACTCCAGAGGCCAAATAGATTTAGTTATAAAAACCACCAAACGCTGTAGTTTGTCGTGGATTCGCGCCTGGCCGTTTGGAGTTTGTAACATCTAAATAGGGGATAGTTTGTTTTTGTAGAAAGTCCTCCCGGGTAGCACCCCCTCGGCAGATTGCCCACGTGTAGCCTTGCAGAAACCAAATCAACATACCTGAGATATACTTTTTTTTGGAACTTTTTTCGCCCTGTGAACAATAAGAGGCCTCCTTTTAGCAATCTTACGGGTTCGGTCAGGCGTACAACGGAGCATCCAGGGTGAGGGAAAATAAGAAGAAAACACAATAAAGCATGTTCAAAAAGAAAACCTGCCTAAAGCTGGAAGAATATTCGTTACCTCGCCGGTCCGGTTTACACAGGTTTTACTGCATACACTAAAACCTGTACGGCTTACCTGCTAGTATTTAATATTTTAATAAAATAATGTGTAATTTATTTATTGTTCTATTAACAATTTCCAACAATATTTCACAATGGAAGTAACACGTACAGGTACAGTACAATTATTGTTACTCCGTACATTTGATTTTCATTGCATTCATTTTGATATAGACTTACTTTGGTGTTGGAAATTCTTAATAGAACAATAAATAAGATATTATTTTATTAAAAATTTATATATATATATATATATAAGTCTGCACCTGTTAAAAATGTGGCAATGTTTATATAACTCCTGTTGTGTTGCCAGATTTGGCATTTGAAAAAATATAAAAGGTGGTGGTTACCTTCTGTCCAACATTTACGAAGGTAAGCTTCATTATAAATCATGAAAATACAGTTAGGATTTAATTCTTTAGTTATATTCTATATCGAATTTATTTTTATTATTTACTAATTTAATTATTATTATTTGGTTAAAGGTTAAAGGCTATAATATAATAATTCAATACATATTATTACGACTCCAGCAAGGAAACTTTCATAAGTTATCATGAATTCCTACTTTGCTACCCTGTTTGCTGCTATGGCCATCTTTTATCTTTTGCCTTATGGTAAGAAAATTATATTTTTATTACAAAAAATTATACAGGTTGTCTCATAAGATAGGAATTACGTTGATCTTTATACTTTCACGGGTGAAGTATGGTGCTGAGCAATGTCGTATACATGAAGGAGAAACTTTGCAGGAGATGAGGGAAGGCATTGCAGGATTTTTACTACCTGAAATATCGTGCTTTACGCTAGAAAAACCTTCAGAACGGGGGTGCAGCTGCGCCCTGAACACCTCCTCATTAAATCCATGAATAAAGAGCATGGTTCCTCACAGTAGTTTTTGCTACCTCTACCTGATTGCGTGCCCCTACTATTGAAATAACTTGAATTCGTTCCTCCTTTTAAAAAATTAACAAGGATCAACGTTACTCCTATTGTTTCAGACTTTATAGGATATCCCGTATAATTTTAATTTTACTTTTCTCCTTGTCGACAGCCACGAGTGGGGAAAAATGCCTTGAATGGTAAGTACTGTACATAAAATTTTCTGAATTAAAACTGTGTTACTAGTTATATTTAAATATAAAATTCTGTAGGGGTGAAGGATGCATATATGACAACGAATGTTGTTCGACAAAATGCAGAAAAGTCGAAAATATCGTTTGTATAAGAGCGCCTTGTGGAACCGAGTGTGTTGAATGTATACCGTTTTATAAAGTGGAAATTTGTTTACGTAAAAACAGCGATAAAATTTATATATTTCCAAAATACGAAAATTAATTAAATGTCTTGCTTTCTGTACGTATGTTGTGATTATTAATTAAAATAAATTTTAATTATTACAAGAATAATACTAACGAGTACATTACTAAATGGCTCACCAGTGGCCGAGTGGATAAAACCACTGAACACTAGCAATTGGTTGCGGAGTTCGAATCTCGACAACGGGCTGTCACGTGGAAATTTTTGGGTTTCTTCACGTTTGTAACACGTAAATAGGGGGCCAGTTTCCCATAAAAGTCCTTTCGGGAGGTATTCCCCTCTATAGATCGCCCGTGTACCAATACAACCCATTACTAAGGGTTCGTTTACTTCTGAGCTAATAGTGCTACTTCCGAACATCGGAAGTGACGTCATTAGCATGTATATTCGTGCTTACATGTCCAGTTCGAAAGTAAACGCGAACGCTAACAAGAAATATGGCGGTTTCCAGCAAATAATATTGTCAAAGCTGCTATTTTAAATGTTACGTTACAGATATAACTACTTGATTCCGAATCGGAAGAGGATGATTTTATTGTGGATATAATTGTAGAAAAATGAAAAAAGAAAAGTAAGGTAAAATAAAAAAGATATTGAAGAGACTACCTTTTTATAAGCCAACCGATTTTAAACAACCTTAGACTTACAAGAGAATGTTTTTGAAATTCTCCTCTAAAAAATAAGCCCAATTATTGACACCGAAAAATTACTTCCTCTGGAAGATGACCCGTGTCTCCTCAAAAGCAGCTTTTAAGAGAATAATAGATTATACATACATATAATACATATTTAAAGCAATTGTTTTACCCAGTGTATGGATGTGACGTTGTTTTGTTGTGGTGTAACTAAACTGAGTTCAAAATTAACAAATAATTGATATTAAATACAAAACACTTTTCTTTCCTCTAAGGGTATTTATTGGCGATCGTTTTAATATGTTTAGACGGACTGCGTGGAATATTTTAAATAAAGTTGTTAATTCTTTCTTACAAGTTAGTGTTAAATGAAAATGATCTCTTGGCCATCACACAGCAGGATGATGTAAGAATAATGTAATTTTTTTATACACAATCTGGTTTTCCTGGAATTAGAGGTTCTATTGACGAAAAGCATATGGCTATTAAGACATCAACTGAAGAAGCAGTAGCCTATTTCAATAGAAATAAGTACTGTATTACTCTGTCATCATATAAGTTTAGTTTGTAATGAAAAAGATTATTGTAAATATTTTACACAATAAATAATTGAAATTTACCGATAAAAATACTTTCTGCCATTTATTTTTCGAAAACTAATTCCATTTTTAGTACTTTGTACAGAAAGTAATTTTTTCACGAGAACAGCCATATTGAATTAGCGCAAAGCTCGACAACGAACTACCTAGCACTCCGAGCTTACCAATTTCGCTAAACATGACGTCACATAGCTCTAAAGTAAACGCCAATGAGCGTGGCACTCGGACGAAAGTATACAGGTTGAGTGTGCTGATAGTAAAATTAGCTCAGAAGTAAACGCACCCTAAATAACTATATAGAGTAATCCCCGATATAGTGAACAATTTTTTGATTCTTACTAGTTTATATGGTAAATTCACGTTGTAGTAAATGATTTAGCATAGTTCTTTGAGAGTGGCCTATATAGATATTTTATATTTGTACCAAATTGGGGAAGACGTTTTCACTTTTAAG